GTTAATGCTAATAGCTGCCCTCAGGTTAGCCCAGAAAAGGGGACGCTTGCTCCTCTCCTTTGGCCACTCCAGGTAGGTTCGCTTTGCCATGAGAGCCTTCAGCTTGTGGTACCTGGCTGGGATGATATACGGAGGGATCGGCTCCAGTAAAATGAGGATTAAGCTGTTGGAATTCTCACTGAATAATTTGTGATGGGCAAAGTACAGCTCATAGTGACACCACTCACTCTGCACAAAGTTGGGAGACAACACAAAGATCGACTTGTAGCTCTTCTCAATGCAGTTAATGATGTTCTCCACAATGCTCTTGCCGGGGATAAAGTTTCTCTCATGCTGGCACAGCTGCACACAGCCTTCCCCCTTCTCCAGGTTTGGGATCAGCTCGTTCTTCACCCACAAGGAATCACGCTCACTGTAGGAAATGAACGCATGGAACTGCAGAACGGTCTCCTGCTCTTCGGGGTAGCTGTGCCAAGCTCTCCGCTTCACCTGCGTCCACTGCCACGTCATCCGCACGTACCACGGCACATCCAGGAAGATGCACAGAAAGGCCACGACAGCCACCAGCACCAGCGTCAGCAGCAGAGCTGTCACAAGCAAGAGCGTGGTATTGCAAGCCAGCTCAGTCAGGTGGAAGTCCTTCAGCTGCGTTCCTCGCAAGTCTTCCGGGTACTCGCACACGTACGCTGCCGGCCAGCCAAACAGCTTCTCCCCAGACTGCCTCTCCAGGCGGATAAAGTCTTGCAGTTCACACGAACACTTGAATGGGTTGTGCCCGGCCTGTAGCTCCCTGACCCTTGGGCAGCTCTGGAAGAAGTTGGCAGATGGGCCGAGGATCAAATTTGCCTCTATATTCAGGAACTCCAGGGACGTAAAGCCACTGCACCCTGGCAGGTCAGCCAGCCTGTTCGATGCCAGATTCAGCTCTTTCAAGGATTTCAGCTCAGCCATCCCCTTGGGGACACTAGTGATCTGATTGTTTTGGAGGTAGAGTTTTTGGATGTTGACCGGCAAGCACTCAAACACGGCATCTGTCAACTGATTTGAGGACAGGTCCAACTCTGTCAGAGACTCAGCCCACCAGCACTGCACATCAGGTGCATCGTGACGCAGCAAGTTGCTGCTGATGTCCAGATATTTCAGTGATTTCATGTGGCTGGTCATGAAGCTTACCTTGGGAAGGCTCTCAAATTTATTC